TTGCTCATTGGAAAACATTACTCCACCAGCCCTACAGCTCTGGTCTTGTCCCCTCAGACTTGTTCTTCCAACTCAAAGAACATCTAACACAGCAGTTCTCAACCTGTAGGTCATGACCCCTTTTAGGGTCGGACAACCCTTTCATAGGGGTCGTCCGATTCATAACAGTAGCAAAATTACAGTGATGAAGTAGCAACAAATATAATGTTGTGGTTAGGGTTCACCACCACATGAGGAACTGTGTAAAAGGGTAGGAAGGTGGAGAAGCACTGCTCGCCAGGACTTGAGCCCCTCAAGAATGTGAAAACTTCAATTCCATGTGCTGTAGACTCGAGAGGGCTGACTTCTTCAGGAAAGGACTACAGTGATGAAAACACTGCCTTTTGTAGAATAGAGACCATGATGGATAATTTGTTGAGAGACAATATCATATTTTGATGACTTTGTAGTAATACTGTTATTCCGTATCCTCATATATAATGCATTTAATGCACACTTTTCACTACCATTTACACAATTGCTAAAACCCAAATTTGTGGCATATTTGGGAAATTCGGTTTGTAACACAAGTTGAAAGCCGCTCTTACTCATGTCCAGAAGGGTTCTTTGAGGCAGTTAACAAGATGAGAAAAGACTTAGAGAGGTAGATGAACTCTAAAAGATAAATAAATATAGATTGTCCCCAAGGACTTCACACAGATTTAGGTTGTAAGTAGTCTGATCGGATTGAGAACAACCCTAATACGTTTGGCTACAGGGGCAGTTTTTGTGCTGGGTCAACCAGACTTCCCTGGTGAAATCCATACCACATCTGCCCCATTTGCCTGGTCCGTGCCAGAATGCATGGCACGTGGCACAGAGCTCTCTACTTCTGAACCTTAGTCTTTTATCTCTTCAAAATACATTCTCTAGGTTGGGAGATTTGCATCAAGTTGTTTTGCATACCTCTTTGCTCCTCTCCAATAACCTCTTGATGTCTACTGCTCCTACTGTGTGCCATTACTCTCCACTCTCCCCTGCTCTCCTCTGCTCTCCTCCCTCTCCCCCTTGATGTCTACTGCTCCTACTGTGTGCCATTACTCTCCACTCTCCCCTGCTCTCCTCTGCTCTCCTCCCTCTCCCCTGCTCTCCTCCCTCTCTCCTGCTCTCCTCCCTCTCCCCTGCTCTCCTCCCTCTCCCCTGTTCTCCTCCCTCTCTCCTGCTCTCCTCCCTCTCTTCTCCTCCCTCTCCCCTGCTCTCCTCTGCTCTCCTCCCTCTCCTCCCTCTCCTCTCCTCCCTCTCCCCTGCTCTCCTCCCTCTCCTCCGTTCTCCTCCCTCTCCTCCACACACTGTTCTTAGTCCGGGCGGGAATGTCTCAGGGAAAGGTTTAAGGCTGATCCCAGAAGAGAAATACCTTCCACTTTAGCAAATTCATGCACTAAAATGCAGTGGTTTAATTGTTTAGATAAAGTAGCACAAGCACAAGGTAAAAAAAAAATCAAGCAATAGAAAAGGATTTATAGCAGAGATAATTTTTCCTGTCATCCTCTGTCCCCTGTCCCCCAGGCTTATTCCTGAAAGACAGCTACTTTATCCTGTGTTCCGTGTGGGTATGCGTATGCATTTATTATATGGATAAATGAGCATATAATGTTAATGTTCAGCACTAGAGAGGCTTCTATAGAGTGGAATTTTTATGTGTGTTACACACATCCTCTATGACTTGGCTCCTGAGGATATGCTGATGTCTGCCGTGTATTTGTAAAATGCACAGCAAAGAAGTTTCTAATGAGTCCAGACTAGAATTGTAGTTTTGTTGATGGGCTTTGTAGTTAGGTTTGTATCCCTCGAAGGTGAACTAGAAGATAATGAACTTAGTTTGTAAATCTACATGGATTGGGCTCTGTTGTGTGATCTCTCCCTTGAGCTGTAGCATTTCAAGGCAGCCAGATGGTGTGCCATTGACACATTAAAGCTGCATTTGAACTTCATGAAGGAGTTCTTAGCAGATAGTACAGGTCTCTGAAATGTCCTCGCTCCTTTACTGAAGGTGCAGCGGACTTTTAGTTGGAGAAAATGTTTTGAGCTTCAAGTGTAATGGAGAAGAAAATAAAATTATGAATGACCTAATAACAATTGGATTTATCTCTGGGAACATTGATTCTATCGTGCTTTTAAAAAGTAAGACTCGAGTAAATTATTTTGAGTAAATGATTGTTTGTTTTCCTTTGGGCTTCTTGCTTGGAAATTTTATATTTCCCTTCCAAGATGCGCAGAATGTTCACTGTGCTCCCTTCTTTGAAAGACAGTGGGAACTATTACAAAAATTGTAAATTTCTTAGTCATTTGGACCCTCCTTAGTAAGTTTCTTAAAATATCAACTTTCTCATCATGGTTACAAAACGTAAAACCAAACTCACTGCCATAAAGTGGATTTCGACTTAATAGCGACCCTAAAGGTCAGGGTAGAACTGCCTCTGTGTCTTTCCCAGACTATAACTCTTTATGGCAGTGGAAAGCCTCATCTGTTTCTCATGGAGTTGATTGTGTTTCAAACTGCTGACCGTGCAGTTAGCAGCCCAACACATAAACACCATGCCACCAGGGCTCCTGTCATCCTGGTTAGCAGGTTAGTGATTTCTGTTTTTCAGGGTGTTTGAGAATGTTGTGTAAAATACTATATGCAAAGTACCTAGCAGAGTGGCTGCAAGGTACTCAAAGTTTAATAATGATGGTCTTCCTCTTATAGCGCCCTTCCTTCAGCGGAGTGTTTTGGGGAAATGGATGGGGTGCATAGTTTTAAGATAATGTAAGTTGGTAGGTCTCTGAGTAGTGCAATTAGCTTTGGCTTCACGACTAATCACACAGTTGCAGGTTCAAATCCATACATTGGCATTGTGAAAAACAGGTCTGACAGTCTTCTCTAAAAATTTAACCTGTGGCCAGTGAATTGATGCCAATTCACAGTTAGTTTATAGGACTGAGTAGAATTGCCCCTTTGAATCCTCAAGCCTGTGGCCTCTATGGAAGTAGACTGCCATGTCTTTCTTCCAAGGAGTGACTCATGGGTTTGAACCAACGAGTGTTGGGGTTGCTGCAGAGTACTTTAACCAATGCACCATCAGGGGTCCAGAAAATTCTATGTGGCTCAGTTCTCTTTTGTGACACATGACATTTCCATGAGTAGCCGTCAACTTGAGGACAATGTGTTTGCTTCCGGATTTTTTCACGGTGGATTTGGGAAGTCTGAAGAGCTACATCTTTGTAAAGCTGGGCTCATTGACAATTCCTGTGCCACGTTTTTTTCTAGGGATGATGATGCATCCATCCCTCCATAACTCCTTAAGGAGGACAACCTCAAGGGTGACCCAATGTAGACATTTTTCCAATACCCTTGGAGAGTGATTCGTATCTGAGTATTACTTTGGGATTCTGAATAAAATTTCATAGAAACTCCTTGGTAAAGGGTTTCTCACTTACGGAGCTAAATGTCTCTCTGGGCACTTACCTAAGAATCTCTTCATGCCAGACTCACATAAATTCATGTAAGTTCTGGTTGGGGGCTTTGATCTTGGCTGCCTCTTTCTAGGTTTTAGTTCAAAGGGGTTTTGGTCATGGAAATCATTAGATTCTGGGATGATGGCAACATAAACAGACTATCATTTTAATATTCTTCCCAAAATATGAAGGGACTTCAAGATGCTCATTGGATAATTCATTTATCTTTTAAGTTTTCTACACACCCTTTTAAGCTCCTCGCCTCCTCCCTTCCCCTTCACTGTAACATGGAATATCATAAAACGGGGGCCTGAGAAACGGGGCTTGAGAAATTGGATTATAGAGAAGAAGAAGGCAGTGAGGAATTGCAATTACGCAAGAATCAATAAATTGTAGGAAAATATTATATGAAAATGGTACAAAAAGAAACTGTTGAGTTGGTGTATATTATGTTGAGTGTATTCTCAATAACAACAACAAAATAAATAAAATTACAAAGAGAAATAGAGAAAACAAGACTACTGTAGTTAGTGGTTTACCTCTGCCATTGACTGCAAAGGCTCACGGTCAGTTTATCCCTGAGTTTGCCTGTGAAGGTGATTGTCTCCTGCCATTTATATTCAAACATCTCAAATGGAAAGTATAATTAGCAATTTACCAGCATGAAATCTCTCACCCAAATAAATTTTGTAAGCAAAAATTGTGAGGATCATGCAAGGCATGGCTCTCGAGTGTTAGTGTGCATAAGTATGACCTAGGAAAGTTAATTATAAGTGAAAACCCTGCCTTTGAAATAGCACTTGAGATGACTCACAGAGAGGTTGTCCAGGGATAGCACTGACTCAGAGGGTCTGGCTTCTACAAAAGGAGCCCCGGTAGAATAGTGGGTTATGTGCTGGGCTGTTAACTGCAAGGCCAGCAGTTCAAAAGCACCAGCTGCTCTCAGGAAGAAAGATGAGGCTTTCAAGTTCCATGTAGATTTTCACTCTCAGAAATCCAATGGGAGCAGTTCTGTACGGTCACTATGAGTCGGGTTGACTCAATGACAGTGAGTCATTTTACGGCTTCCTTCTCTAAAGAACAGTTATCGGCTTCTCTGAGGTCTGCTCACTTACTATTCCATCATGAATATTTCTGCTAGCTCATACAATGGGAGCCTCCTCATTGACAAGATAATCAACTAATTCCATGGAAACAGAAACACAGGCCTGAATAAAATGTACATTTCTCTTTGAGAATGAGACTAAGGGATGTTAGAAAGTGCTAGTAATGTTTTCCCCATAAAACTAAAGTCAAGCCTTAGTGTAGATCAAATGTTTGCCCATGTCATGTATAAATACTCCTGTAGGCTGTCATACTGTTCCAAGGATAAAGCTGGCATTCTTAAACACATAAATCATTAAGAAATGATCCGCGTCATACATTTTGTTTTTGAAGAATGGCTTTGTTCAAATTTAGATCACCAGTGATTCCAGAAACCACCCCCAGTATGTTGAGAACTCTGTCTTGTTTTTATTTAAAAGGGCAAATTTTGATGATACGGCAACTTATACAGCTGTGGCTACTAATATTCACGGACAAGTGTCAACCAATGCTGCGGTGATTGTGAGAAGTGAGTACTCCTTTACAAGAGAATACATAGTTACATTTTTGTTATTCTTTCTTTACAATTTTCACTTCGTTATCTTACAGGGTTTAGAGGAGATGAGGAGCCATACCACTCAGTGGGACTGCCAATTGGATGCAAGTATCCCCCCCCCCCTTTCTTGGTAGAAAAATGTTTAAAAACAAAACAATGCCTATAATTTGAGAGTCAATTTAAAAATCATATTTCAAAAGCTTTTCCAATATTTTAATGGCTATGTGAGAATTTCAGTAATTTTTCCTCATGTTATTAGTTGGTAATTTTTCAAAAATGGTGACATTGTAGCCTTGAGCAACTGGAAATTTAAAATTCGGGAGAACCCCAAACCTAAAACATTCCACAGAATGAATCCATACACTTGGTCTGGATATATAACCTGACCATATTTTACAGTTAAGGATACTTTTTGCCTCCTTTCTCACCACACTCTGTTGTCATTTGTAATGAACAGTCACTTCTTATCAAAACAGAATGTGCAATAATAGTTGCTTGCTCAAACCGGGGCTTTAGGTTTGATGTTAAAGGTTTAAAAAATATTCTTTCTTATAACTCTTTGCCATTGAATGATCATTGAGTCTATTTCAACTCACAGCAACATTATAAGATGGAGCTCCCTTGGCCTTCAGAGTCTCTCTCGATTTACAAGCGCAGACTGCCTCCCCTGTGCTTGGTGGAGAGGTTGCTGGGTTTGAAGAGCCCGTCTTTGGTTAGGCGTCCAGTGCTGACCCACTCTGTCACTGGGCTTCCTGTTCTGTCTTAGACACAACATATCCTCCATTATGCGCAGGGAGCATTAGAGACTTTCCTCTTCTTGCGCATCGCCTGCTTTTTCACTTATTGTTTTAATGTTTATGTTTCCTATTAAGCCATTATATTGAATGTAGCACACACTATTCCACAATGTGGCAACACTATAGATGATGAACTTCATCCACTTCTCTATTGTTAAAGTAGCCCAGGACACCAACCCCCCCCCCCCCCCAGTGAAACCCCAAGCAAAATCCATTGCCATCAATCAAGCAGACTGGACTCATAGTGACCCTAGAAGGTAGAACAGAATCACCCCTTTTAAACTTCACAGGATCATATAGCTTCTTTTTCAAATAGCTGACCTTTCTGCTAGTGGTTCAACATGTAACCTACCACACCACGAGATTCCTAAATTGACCAATAGTGACAGAAATAGACCCATGTTATCACAGAGTCACCAATGTAGCCACAGAGAGCCTGTCGTAAGATGTGTTTGTTTCTGAATTCCATGACCAGTTTTAGACCAGAAGACCAAGATGATGGATTATCTCAAGGCAATGATGGTAGAGGGTAATCATGCTGATGGCATTAAAGAATTATGACTTGATATGTTTATTTTAAATATGACTTATTACTAAGTCTTGAGATTTAGATTTTACATGAATTTTCTACAGAATAATTACATATTCTCATGGAAATTTTAATTTTATTACAATTTGGTACATAGATGCTATGAATTAAGAGTCAGTGGAGAATGGACTAAATCAGTGATTGAATGTAATTTTTCTCTTGTACCCATTAAGTACTTCTTGTATAGTTTACTTTTGGTAATTTCTGTGTCTATTGTATTGTATGGGCTTCTATTCAACACTGGGTGGTGTCCAAGACCACTAAATGGCAAGTATGAAACAGTTCAGGGTAAAAACAGTGAACTGTGAGATTTTATGAGTTCACCAATATCTGACGGGATCAGGGACTGTCCCCACATGTTCATGAACCTGCCTGGGCTCCCAGCTGGCCCTGTCCGCTTGCTTCCTTCTATTTGTTAAAATTTTAACTTTTAAAATAAAAATGCTGCTGTTTATTCAAAAGTATAGATAAAAATATAACAGAAGCTCCTATTTTCACTACTCATATTTAACAAATGTAAGTAGCCCATTTCAAGGATCTTGTTTTAATTTATTGAGGCAAAATTTGCACAACATAAAACTAATCATTTTGAAATGTTCAATTCAACGAAGCTTCAGTTACTTTAAAGAGGTAAAATATAGCTCTGACACGATTCAAGCCCCACCCTTCGGCCTCACCTCTTCCCTCAGCCTTCATCCCGAGAGGGAGACCTGTCTGGAAGGGTGCAGCTATTTAGTAAATTTGCACCGCTCACAAGAATTTGTAAGTTCTAAATGTAAACCAAATCACTGCTTTCTTCTGTAACTTACTTCTTTTTAAGGAAAACGGTGGAACATGGTCTTTTTGAGGTTTACACACAGTGTTACTCAGCTGCCATGAACTTTTGGCTGCAGTGCACGTGACACGTGAGACCTGCGCCGTGAAGGTAACCACCAGGTCTGCGTGCAAACCCATCGGCCTCTGTTCCGGCGAAAGGCGAGGTTTTCGGCTCCCATAGAAATGTAGTCTTAGAAACCCGAAGGGACAGGTGGACCCTGTCCCTTCCGGTTGCTATCAGTTGGAATCAACTCAATGGCAGTGAGTTTGTTTTTGAGAACCCATTCTGTTGATGGCCATGGCACAATTTATTTGGAAGAGGAAAAGCCATGTGGTCTCAGAGTTCATGCAATTTTCCTAAACGCAAACACTTGGGGTCAACCTAAAACTTCAGTCACGGCAGACAGGGTTGAGCTTCCAGGTAGCCTCCTGAGACACCCAGGCTGGGGACCTTCTTTGGCATATATGGCAAAATAGAATTCCAGAGCTGACTTGCTGACTCTGCTGAGGGGGCCCTTGTGAGAAAGCGAACACCTGCCATGGTGAGGAAACACACACTTGTGGTAACAGCATTGTATTTGTACGTTGTGCTTCAAATCTACTCACCTGACGTCAACCGTCTCTGATTACTTTGTACAGTGCCTTTGTCGTCTGTGATTCCATACACGCACTTTGATGTGAAGTTTTTGGATAAATTTGGGGTCACCTTTAAGAGAGAAGGAGAAACCGTTACTCTCAAGTGTACCCTGCTGGTTACACCGGACTTGAAAAGGGTGCAGCCGCGAGCCGAATGGTACCGAGACAGTAAGTACGCCACCAGGCCTGGGCTTCCGCGGAAATGCTCCCACGTAAACACGGTTTCCTGTGCAAGGGTCGGTGAATTTTAAGTTATTTGTGTCAAAATGAATTTGCTAACAATTGGGAATTTGCCTCGTCTACCTTCGGTTTTCAAGATTTCCTACCATGGTATTAGCTGCAGGAAGGAACGCAAGTCAGGAGGGACTAGGCTTGAGCGAGAACTTGGCCGCAGGGTCACTGATCTTGAAATTCACTCAGGGGAATTGCTAAGAGACTAACTGAGACGTATCTGAATTTCCAAGGCTTTCTCAAATGTTTTTTAATAGCTACATAAAAATGTTATCTACGTGAGAGGTCTAATCACACACTAGCTAACATTTGCTGAAGCCTGGCATGTACTAGGCTGCACATGTAATATGTCATCTAATCTTCATGGCAACCACGGGAGCGAGGCGCTGCTATGACTTCCGTATTACAGTAGGAGACACTGAAACAAAATCACACTCCAGGTCTTCTATCGGCCAGCGGCAAGCTGCAATCTGAAGCCAGGAATCTGGTTCAAGAATCTGTTCTTAATCGCTGTACACGATCGAAGTGGCAGTCACAAATTGTTCTTTGCTTCTAGATTTAGGCAAATTCTACAAGTAAAAATCTCCTTCATTTCTCTGGATGTCACTTTGAATGCAAACTTGTTTTGGACTAAATTGACCAGTAGTTTCCATATCTTTATCAAGGACTTCACACGATGGGTTATCAACAAATACATCAATCCTTTCCTGCCAGTAAAACATGTGTAATTTGGTTGGGAGAAATTTGTCGGGCAAAATCCTTTTTATATATAAGAAATGGTTCTGACTAAGATGTGTGTAATTTGCCAAACACACGGGTACTAGTGAGGATAAGCTAGGAATTCTGGAGTGACAAAGGGATGCTTTGTGAAACAATAATGGGTTTTGAGAACTGAGCAGGCATTTTCTGATGGAGAGGCAGGAGGACTATTGTGTGCCAAAGCACGAAGGCAGGATAAATACAGAACATATTCCAGGTACCAGTCACCGAGAATATACCGTGACCTTGGAGAGAGAGGATTGTGCCTGCATTGATAGGGCTGTAGGGGTATTTGCTGTTGGAACCGTTACAGCCATGGCCTCTCTTCATGCCATAAGTTTGAGAGAGAGAGAGAGAGAGAAAGAGTTTGTGATGGCAGGTAGATTTAACATAGTGGTTAACTTTTTCAAGAGAAATGGAATTATCTTCTGGTGCCTAGAATTTTAGTAACATGGCAGTTTTACAAAACTTAACTAATTTTCATGGAATATCTATGGTCATAAAAATTCTTCTTCTTCTGACTCCTGGTTTTTCCATATCTACTTAGAGCCTTGTGATATTTGATTGGGATTTATTTGTAAAAGTAGCTACACATTAGCAGGCATAATCAGGTCTTCATTGACTTTATTATTCAAATGGAAAGCAAAGGAGACAATCCTCTTCGGCTTATTTTTAGACATTAAAATGCAAGGGGATACTTTTTACTATTTAAAATTAATAAGCTGAAAGTCACCAGGTGGCTGGTAAGCCCCAGAGGCCATGTCAGTCAGCTGAATGAAATCCGCTAGCAGATATGAAGAAATAGAGTATGCAAACAGGAAATTTGGAATTACTGACACAATTTAAAATGGATTAGTACTCTAAAGCTACCATACTGCAGTAATCACAGAAGAGAAAAACCTCAGTTACTTATAATAAAACCTAAAACCACTTTGGGTGTGATTTGCACTTGAGGTTGATTTGGTAAGCAATAATAAGGTAATTACAAGCAATGGAAAGGGCCTCATTTCCAGGAACTGGTTTCTAAACAGACATCCTGCTAATGCTGAGCAGTGATTTTGACCTTTGGACTCTGTTGCAAGTTGATATAGATTGTTGACGTATTTAAGATGGAAAGCTATTTTATCCCGTAATGGGGAAAAACGTTGTCAGAGAGAAACAGGCTCCCTTGAGTACGTGCCCGGGAACTTACTCTAAGTCACCTGGCCTTATTTTGGAAATGTAGACCGAGTTTGAAGTTTCCACACACAGCGGTGCCCCACTGGAGGCCACTGGCTGGTGAATGACACGCTGTGGACCCACAGCCTCCCCTTCATCTTCAGGAGACCTCTGCACAGGTTTCTGCAGTTTGGAGCGAACACTCAGTGACTGGTTATCAGCAAGCTGTGCGGGCTCCGGAGAACCGGCTCCTTCTCCCAGTACAGCTACCAACTTTGTCAATTACAGTCGAGTGTAACTGCTAGACAGAAGCGCTCCAATCATTCCTGTTGGTATTGCTTAGCAAACCTAACGTAAGTTGAACTATTCTGAAATTCCACCTTTGGTGAAGTCTGCCATGCTAGACCCAGTGGGCCTGGCAGTCAATAGGACAGATACTACCCCTGACATCCTGGGTCTTTCAATGCAGCCAGACTGGCAATCAAATACCACATACCAAATACCAGCTGGCAACGGACAGCGGATGTGCACACAGACATATGAAAAGCCGCTATGTTATCCTTCACCTCTGATGCAGGCTGTCCTTCCACAAATATTTATTGGGTTCCTACAGTAAGTCAGACTGTTTTTTCCTGGGCCTGAAAAATGAGAAGAGATGTTGTACAAAGGCCTTAGCTCGATGGAATTCATATTCGATGGTCCATGATAGGCCTACGCACAGCAGAACAAAAGTAACGATCCAGCTGAAGGTCACTCTGACCTCAGTATCTTGCCAAACAACAACCCCCAAACTGATTGCCACGGAGTCAATGCCAACTCATAGCAGCCCTACAGGACCGGCTAGAACTGCCCTATGGGTTCCCGAGACTGTAATTTTGTGGGAAAGGATGCCTTGTCTCTCTCCTATATATTGCCGGAGCCCGCCGGCAAAGCAACGGGGACTCGACTGAGGAGGTGAGGACTGAGAAAAGACAGACACAAAAAAGCTGGGTCAGGAGGACTGCAATTCAAGACTGCAGCCCCGAGTTTATTTTCCAGCAAGCTTTTATACACTGTTAAGCGGGAATGTACTATTGCTCAAAATAGTGCCCCCATCCTTGTTCTTGTTTGTCAGGCAAGTATTTTTCCCAAGGCTAAGCAACTGATGTTTTCAATAACATTAAAGCACAAAAGTTAACCTGACCGTGAGAGAGACAATCTGACCGTGAGAGAGCTGTGTCTGCACATCCACATTTGAACGAACAGACCTCTGCTTTCAGAGCATCTCCCAACCATATATTACATGTGGTTTAAGCTCACCCCAAAGGTTGGCAGTACATCTTCGGTGGAGCGATGGAAGAAAGATCTGGCTACCCCACAGCCCTCCCATGGACCAGTTCGACTCCGTTACCCAGGGGTTGCCATGAGCTGCCATCACCTCCGTGGTAGTGGGTGTTGGTCATTAATGAGGGCAATGCAACAAGATAAAGGCAGTAAAGGGCATAAAGAGTAAAGAATTATGGAGGAGGGAGAAATTATTGGCCACAAAAAGATCTCTGCGTTTTGACCGTTGAGAAGACACCTGGATACACCGAGGGAGCAAGGTTTGTAGCTGTCCCGAGCACTGCAGACAGGGGGAACAAAAGCACAGCCTCTGGGGCACGAATCGATCTTGGGTCTTCAAGGGACGGTAAGACCCATATTCTTGGAGAGGAGCGATAGAGAGGAAAGGAGGAAATAGGTTTAAAGTAGAGATGTTATTATGGTGAGGAGGTTGGATTTTATTTGCAGTGTGATGGGAAGTGTTTTGAAAATTTAAAGCAAAGGAAAAACTTATGACTAACAACTTAAAATCATATTGTGAAAATGTCCCTCTTCCTGCTGAGTGGAGAATTGAGTGTGTGAGGGAGGGGGTGATGGTATGGAAACAGGAGTACCATTTAGGAAGCCGTGATTGAGTCTAGGGGAGCGGCTCTAGTGACTTGAACCTTGCCATTGGGGGAGGACTGGAGGTGGTGAGAAGCAGCGAATTTCACCATGTTTTCTTGGTTCTAATGGGGTTTGCTTAAACACTGGAAGTAAGGTATAAGAAGAGAGGAATCACTTGGGAATTAGCTAGGGAAATAAGGTGACTGGTAATTTATTAGTAGAGACGTTTAGGGCATGAAACAGTTGCTAGGTGCTACTGAGGTGGTTCTGTTGTGGATAGGTACAACAGAAGGAAACAATTCCTGGTATTGCACCTGTTATTATGTCTAAGCCTCTTGTTGTCAATGCTGTGTCAATTCATCTCACTGAAGGTTAGAAATAGGAATTCAAGAATTCAATTTATTTGTTAGCTGCTGTTAAGTTAGCCCGCTATCCTCAGGATGAGTACAAAAGCTTGCTACAGTTTTCTTGGGTGTACTCTTTACAGAAACAGCTCTACAGGACTTTTTGTAAATCACTGGCTGCAATGGAGCCTCCTTGCCTTCTGGAGAGCAGTGGATGGTAAGCTGTTTTAGCCACAATGGCTCCTTACATTCAATTTCAGGATGTTAATTTTGAGACACACCATCTGCCTGTCAGCATGTCCTACTGTGGTGGCTTGTATGTTGCTCACAACAGAAGACATGATGAGCTGTGGGAGGACATCAAGAACATCATTCATGAAGAAAGCAAAAAGCATTAAAAAGACAAGAAAGATAAAAAAGATGAAAGTGGCCATCAGAAGAGACTCTGAAATTTAATTTGCATAGTAGCTAAGGCAAATGGAAGAAATGATAGTCAAAGAGGTGAATAGAAAATTTCAAAGGGTAGCTCAAAAAGACAAAGTTAAATCTTCTTATAAAAGTTAAATCTTAGAATGTAATGTGCACAGTCTTAGAAATAAAAACCAAAAACATGTTCAGCATATCTTAAACTTGAAGAACTGAAAAAACAATAATGTCTTGAGTTGTAATATTGAATGATTCTATGGGGGAGATATTGAAAATACAGGGAGCATCAAAAGAAGCTGGAAAGAATACACGGGAACACTGTACCAAAAATAACTAGTTGAC